CTTTATTGATCATTACGAAATTCCTTTGTCTTTCTTCTGATGATATACAAGATTTGAAAACAAAATTACAAGATATTTTTGACTTCAGAGGGTTGATATCTGCGTCCTATTAATCTACTACCAGGCAGAGGGCAAGAAGTCATATAAAATGATGTCGTCAAATCAGACAAGTCATAGCGAATTAGAATGCATAGGTATTCAGTTTGATTTTAAATGGGTTTTATGTTTCATCTAAAAACCGTGTGGAAATTTTGCACATAGCTAATAATACACTTTGAATAAAAGAACAACATATTTCGAGCACATGTACGTCAGCCGGTATTTATAAAACCGTTTCTAGTTTACTCGAAATTTTTTAGACATTCACTGAAGGTCAATAAAATGTGTTATCCTCAATCCTAAGGAAAAAAGCTATTGATGTCTGTGTGCTTCCCCTCCCATTTTAAAACGACAGTCATTTATCTTCATATTAATCGATGAACTTAAAAAAGGAAGGCAAAGATTAATTTAGAAATTGTAATTTATAACTTAAATTCACTTCATAGAATATTTATTAGCTCTTCAATATTTCAAAACTAAGTTTTCAGCAATAAAAACATTATATATATATATATATACTGAGATTTAATTCATTATTACTTTTTTATTTAGATTTTAACTGACCTGAAATTATTTCCTTTTGTAAAGTGTTAAAATTTAAAAGGAGCATTTGATACATTGCATGCTACAAAAAAAAAAAAAAAAAAAAAAAAAAAAGAAAGAATGCATGAGACTGACTGTGATTAAATTACATCAGTACGGAATATTGTGAAACAATTTGATTCAGAAACTATTCGATCATAACTTGCAATATTTTTATACGATTTCCTTTCCCCCAAGTTAGTTAATAATTTTAATTAAATACTTCTTTTATGAATCGCCAATAAGAAGATATTTCTATGCAGTAAAATATATTTATGCACACAGAGTACGTAAGAAAAACTTTTGCAGGAAAGCCTGCTCGTAATTTAATTTTACGTTTAGATTCTAACTTAATATATCAAAGAAAATTATTATTTTTATTTACGATTAACAAATGATCAGTAACTATCAATCTACTGTAATTTTTCAATGAATTAAGCGGAACGCAACGTAGCAGAGTTCTGAATTGTTAAACTGAATAAATAAGAACGTAAAAAATTGTCATCTAAATAAAAACCTAAAAAATATTACCTCCAAAACTAAAGATATCACAACATAATGATCGAATGGTTAAATAATTCTGACAAAAACTGCAGCTGAAAACTTCTTTAGGAAGGATGCCTTCGTGGAGGATTTTCAAAGAGAAACTGACTGGTATATCATGCTTGGAGAGACGCAAGAAAACGCCATGTAAACAGCTTGTTCAGCGAATTCATTTGTTTTATCCATCTGGCCACAGATAGGCATTAAAATGATATTGTTATTACTATCATTAATCTGTAAAATCTTATATTTGGTACGTAAAAAAAATTCGAAATTAAATTAAAAGATTTTAAGCTATTTAAGAGAAGGACATTTTCTATTCAAGTTTTTTTATTTTTTTTTATTTTTTATTTTTTTCCTGTATAAAACTTGTCACTTTTAATTTAAAACCAATCCCCGTTTACGTGAAATGTACTGCAAAACATGCCTACCAAAAGGTAGTTATTAGGATGCAAATGAATGTTGTCGTTACTATTTCGAGTAATATCGTAAACTTAAATATAAATATTTGTAACTAAATTTCCAGTTATAGATTTATCCTATTCAATTAAATATTATGAGATGGTAATATAATTCTGATCTGAACTGTCTTATAGTCACTAATCAATAATATCTAATTACATGAAAACATTGTTTCGCAAGTAAATTTGCTGTATGTTCCACAAATATATTATTTGCACGAGCGAACAGTTCTAGTTTTTGACTGTGCAAATCATCCCACTATTTCGATTAGGAGTTATGGTGCTGCCATCTGTTGACATCTTTTAAAGTAACAATTTCGCTTCTAACATAAAATTACAATCCATTTAAAAATTAAATTAAGTAAGTAAATAAAAAGACTGATTAAATCTGATTATTTTTTGTATATATTATTTGAATGCAAAAGTTCCATTAATATCTCTTATAATTCGAAAAACAGGCTAGTAGAATACTTCATTCAGTACCCACTTAAGGAATTAGATGACAGGACCATTGACACTGCTGACATTCTCATGAAACTAACTAGGAGTATACTGATAGTATTAGCTAATTATCAGCAATATGAAAAACTTCTTTTTGAGTTATTTATTCAGCATTGGATGGCATTAATATGCATTCCAGAAATGCGTTAAAAATAAATAGAAAGAATAGAAACATAGACTGCAGTGAATTAAAAATTATGGATAACTGATTCTGCGATTTAACCAAGTTATATGGCACAATATCTTCAATCTAAAACTCGTTTGACAGCGAACATAGCATAAATATTACTTTAAATATAAGCCAAATATTTCAGAACAGCTGTTTTTCAAGAAGAAATTCTCAGGAGCAATATCAAATTTAATTTTTATAAAATAAGGCTTACCACGTTGACTGTTGCTCCATGTGCATTATAAAAGTCTTAATATCTTTACATTGCAGCATATAGCATCAGGATTGAAAGACATAGGTGCAAGGATGAATAAGTAGTGGTGGGCGGGATGCCAGAATTTCACCAATGGTCATACAGATATACCTCCACTCTACGAACTACGCAGCTCCGCCGCAATTTTTATGGAGATTACCACGGGGATGGATCTGAGGAACTGCTATCTTTCTTAACCTACCACAAACCACTCCAAAGGACTTTCGGCTAGCCAGTATTTTAATTGCCTCCATCTCACACAGACTTACAAACATTCCTGCTTTCCGTACTCCAGCCCTGGCTCAACAATACGGCAGCGTCGTTAATTATTGTACCAATCGAGGCAGTAAGCGGCACGTATAGGAAAATGCTCTGTGTTGAAAACAGAAATGTGGTAAAACGCAAATCGCCTGACATTGTGATGCTTACAAGGAATTACTGCATTTATTCTTGCATGCTCTTGCTTAAGCATCCCAGCTAGCAGTTGAAAGATCTAAAGTTCGATCCCTAGATATCTAGTGATTCCCAGTGAGAATACGGTTCCATATTTCAACGCTTTTCACTCCGGAAAAACCAAATAAGTTTTATGTATTTGGTGCAGGAATTTAGAACGTCACTGGGTCTTGAGTTAGAGTACAGCTTGCATTTGAAATCAGAATACGAATGTGAAATAGGGGTGCATGAAATTCGCTGGCACTGTTTTTGGGAGGAAGAACGCTGGCAGAGGAAGAACGATTTGAGATCCAACAACCTGCCTTCTGGACGGTTGGCGGTCAAAATTAGAGTGGTATACGGCAGCTGGAAATCTGTTACCTTATGGTTATGCAAATGCTTTGCTCTTCCATGCAATGCTTTGCTCTTCCTCATTCAAGTAAAACTATTAAAAAATAAAGAGGAACCATTGTATAGTAACTATGTTGTTCCTTTATGTTAATTAACAAGACATTTCATGTTTTAGACCTTTACTGTCACTTTTTCTTTCACAATGGAAATTTAATTTTCTTGACACAATGGAAATTCGTTCACGTGTATTTAAGGTGAGGTTTTTAGACTGTAAGCAGAGCGTGTTCTGTCTGTCGAGGTCACGTTACTAGTTTTCTAGATAAGATAAGAACTGCAGCCTTCGACTTGCATTATAACTGCCGAAAGTAAATATCCACGCCGATTAAGTTTTAAGCTAACTTCGCGTTAAACTAATATGTGTAGCCTTTGGCAACTAATTTACTTGAATTTAAATTTTACATTTGATTTACTTTACATATGTTATCTCGCCATAAGTGGTTGACTGAGCTGTAAGCTCAAAATGTGCTTTCTATTCTTATTTATTTTTAAATAAATGGTCTTTCAGTTGTTACCCTTCTCACGTTTCAGTTGTTACTTTAGACTAAGTGATGATTCCTCTTCAGTCTATCCAAAGTTTCGTTACAGTTTATAATTGCGAAGAAGATAGTCTAAGTTTGTAATGTTAAATTTACTTTTTTAGGGTTTTTAGAATAGTATTTTTCTTTCTTAAGACATGGAAACAAGTGTCATTCCGCCATTCCTTTTATTATGGGGTTATGCGGTTAGTTTAATCAGGCACATGAGGAATTGAATTCAGTATGGGAAACACAGTATTCAAGAAATGACTATTTATAAATAATTAACTATTAGCAATAAATAAGAGTATAATGCGAATGGTTATTTAAAGAAACGATTTAAAATCCTGTTTGAGAGATCTACTTTACCTCTTCTACATTTAATCAGGACTAAATATACAATAATCAACTAATGCTTATTAATATTCTTTCTCACCAAGAAAGAGGCGATTTCTTAATAGTCAAAATAAAGTACATCGAGTTACTTCTTTCCAGTTATTAATTTTTTAAGTAACAATTTCTGACATAACAGAAAATGTATTTTTATCTCCTTTTATTATTTATTTTTATCTAGTTTGCTTATAGATGCCTAATTACATTTATATTATGTAACATGCTGAATGTCAGTGATTTAAAAATTATTTATTTTATATTCTATTTTACTAAAGCAAAGAATAATTTATACAATTTAAAAAAGTCAAAACTCGCAGAAATTCAACACCCCATAGTAAAAGGAAAAAAAAACTCTAAAAACAAGTACAAAAATATTAAGAATAAGTTTAGCAAAACAGTTTTTAACTTTTGTTTTGCAGGTAAAGAAACGATTGCAGAAAGCTGAATCTAATTAACTTCCAAAAATGTTTCTGTTTCTTTGTATAGCAATCGTGATAAGTATACGAAATGAATGGCTGGATTGCTTCAGAACTTACTCTGTTTTTAAAAGAAAAGTACAGACATTTTCTGATCTCAGTAGAAGGGGGAAACACAGGATGTAAAGTGCAGAAGAGTAGAGAAAATTACTATTAGACACTTACTTCCATCTCTGGAGGAGGCCTCGAGTCGTGTAGCAAAGCCGGCTCTTGGGCCTGATGGTGTCTCCTCCCTTGTGACTTCTTACCAGAGTGTCGGGAGCTTCCGTTTGCACCTTCCTCAGACCAATCACCTGGGCCGCGTGACGACGCTGGAAGTATAGAATTTTACTTAAAGCAGAATTGTATAACTTTATTTCATAAAAGTATCCATCTAAATACTAATTCTCCTTGAAAAGTAATTAAAAGACTAATTCTCCTTGAAAAGTCAACTTTTTTTAATGCAATCACGATAATTTAATTTTTTAATAATTTTTATTCAAATACATTTATTACTTTGTATTAAGTTTTAATTACCATAGTTTAATCTTAGTTTCATAAGCAATTAATTTTTAATTAGTTTGTTCATAAAATAGTTTTTACTCTTCGTTTCCTAGGGGAGAATCGACATTAATAATTAAAATTTGCATTTATAATCTTAGCTGCATCAGTACTAGATTTTCACTTGAAATTATATTTCTACCTTTTTACTTAATGCCTAATATATAAATATGCGCGAGTGTGTTTCGATGTTACTTATTTAATCTATTTATGCGAATAACAGCCGGCTAATATTAATAATTATAAGACAAAAAGATTAATATGAATTATTTGTAAAAATTTATCATACGAATAGGTGATTATTTAGAATCTGTAAGTATGATTAATCACAATAATATTCTTTGCGCTCATCTGGAGTCTTTCCACTGAGTATACGTATTACAATAAATATTACAGCATCCGAATTTCGAAAACATAAATTATTCTGTATGTTTAAAACTCACCGTACCAGTCAACAGCAGCTTTTTGAATATAATCACTTAATATCAAAAAAAAAAAAAAAGATTGTATTCCTTTAAGATTTACATTTACAGAGGGGAAGTTTTCAATACATAGGGAGATTCATATTGCAATCGGGCATAGAGTACAAAGAAGAACAATTATTGAGCTTCAAAACAAAGCGAGCTGAGGAAGTTGCTTATTTTGTATTGGACGTTTTCGAAATATTTGGATCATCATATATCTTGCGAAGTGGCAATGGCAAGAAACGCGCTTATAAAACTATTGAAGAGATTTGAGGAATGTGAAGTGAATTTAAATTATTTAATGGATATCCAAGAACTCACAAGTCTCAAACCCAGGAGTGCAGTATCATGCATCAAGGCTTATACGTCTCAATATCATGAAAAGACAAGACTGAGAAGTAGTTAATACCGCCAGCCACACTGTAATGTTTTGTATTAGTAAAAAACCATGTTATATCTTTAACTGTATCAAGCCACTGTGCATTCCTTCCTTATATTTTTAATTAAAATTAGTGAGTAATTTAGGAAAACTACTAAACTCAGTGGCACAAATAGAACTAATATGCCAAGGCCTGCAGTGCCCGAAATCTGTTTTCTTGACCGTGGGCCCCTGGGTGCCTAAGTATATGCACTGAACAAGTGGTCAGCTCAGTGTTTAGTCCCCAAGCGAACTTTGTACTAATTTTATTGACCCAAGGGATGAAAGACTGAGTTGACCTTGCTCAGCCCGGGGTTCGAACCCCGGACCTGTGGTGTTGCTGCGCGATGCGCTAGCTACTGAATTTAATAAAATGAATCTGCAAATTTTCACACGTAGCTACCATTAGTATTTGCATAATATAACGGCAACAGACATTTATATTATATAGGCGGTTACAATTAAAATTACCTATTTAGACCTACGTAGAACTCGGTTTGATAGACTTATTTAATTGAAAATTGGTATATAGGTTATATGCACCACTGGGAGAAGAAATCTGCAATAAAAATTAATAGTTCAAATTTTGACCGAAAGATGGGGCTTTTCATGCAATGTACAAAGGACATTATACAAATTTGGATTTTTGTAAAATGGCAGTAGCCAATACCGTAAAATCATTCTTTACCTGTGCCTTTAGAGAAGAAAGTTCGAGTTTTACTGATTAAGATGTTTTAGCGGAATGGCAATAACTTTTTAACTGCTAGATTATAGACAATTGAAAGAATCCTGAAAAGGGCCTATTTCCAGGCAGGCGTTGAAAAAGATAAGAGCATTCGGTTCCCAGTATCCTTCGACAAGTGCTCCGGTGTCCGTAATTTATTTCCGCCTCAACCGCCAGTGCGATACGATCTATTGTAAAGTGGTATCTATACAAGTTTCAAGTTCTGCAGGAGTTGCATCCTACATACGTGGACAAATATACTGAATTTACTAGCCTTTTTTTTTTCTAGCCGTAATAAATGTTGACAACACTTGGCCTTGGAACAGTCTGTGGTCTGAGGAGAGGTATTTTACCCCAGACGGAGCAGTTAATACTCAAAACTGTCTCATATGGGGTACTGCAAGTCTTAATGTTGTGCATGAGCGGTATCTGTATCCTGATTGTATGGTGTGAATTTCCTGCTGAATTTATTTCTAGTCTTTTTTTCAATAAAGAGAATACTCATTAAGGCCCTCGAAGGTGTTTCATCAGGGATGGCCGTTACTGAGAGCTTATTTAGCAGCAAGTCATTCTTGCCTTTCTGGAACGAGAATGCTAGTGGTGCACCACCTCACACTACCCAGACCAGTGAAAGCAGTGCTTCATGATGGATTGGAGATGATCAGGAAATTTTGAAAACTTTTCTAACTGCCAGGCCTCTTTGTTCTTCGAACTTGGATCCCTGAGACTTCTGGTTGTGGGAATTCCTGAACACACTTGTCTGTGGAGGAAGCATACAAACTATGCCTGAATTAAAAGCCTGTATAACACTTAATGTTGCATCAGTTGATCGAGAAACATTTCCCGCTACTGACGAACCCGCTATCACACGCTTTGAACATGTGATTGACGCAAATAGAAGGCTCATTGAACAAATGCTGTGATTAAATAAAGTTTTGTGTTTCCCATTTGCGTTTTATCTTCTTCTTCATGCTCTCCCTTCTCACCTGGTGTTCGAAATTTGAACTACTTTTTCTTTTCCCCATGGTCCATATAATAGATAGACGAGGTTTGAAGGAAATAGGTCTAAGAGAACGGTCTCTACATATGTCTAAATAGGGTAACTTTAATTATAACCATCCTGTACATTCTTATTAATCTAATTATGAACACTTTTCTTACCTCATGATTTTTAAGTATTTTTAACGATATCTTCTTTACATCTGTATCTACATCTAAACCTTGTCTTTATTACTTCTGCATAGTTAACATATAATGTAATAGTGAAAAGTACCTAAATTATGTATTGAATTAGCAGAACTGTATAACGTCTTGCCCATTTGTAAAAAGTTCTCGATAAGTTAATATTTATAGCATCTTTTTAAAAAATTAATTGCATAACTGTTGATATGCATTCAAACTGAGTACACATTGCACCAGACAATGTCACAAGGTTTTATTGCAAGTAACAGCAACGTTCCTATACTCAAGAAACGCTGTCATCAGTATATCTCTCTTAGGGACCGTTCTATATCTCCCATTCTACTCGGCCGACTGACAAAATTCAAATTCCGTTTTTCATATCTGGAAAGTGCGACTTAGGATATATATTAGATTTATATATAGCAATGTTCTAGCATAAGTATTTTGACACAAAATAGGACTTTTTCTGAAATAACACACAAGATTTTTTCCATATTTCGATTCTACGACTCAAATTATGCCTAGATATTAAATTTTGTAAAATTTGGTGCGAAATTTACAAAGAAATTCAAAAACTTATCTTGGCGAAATGTTTTCAATTTGCGCGTACTTTCACTTGGCGTACTTCTTAATATATGGTATCCAATTTTTCTTTCATTTCCATTAAGCTGGAGCGGAAAAAAAGGCACCTCTTTTCCTATCTTTTTACATCGTACATTAGCGGAAAAAAAGTCACATCGTTCTTATTTTCAAATAATTTTAGCAAAGTGTTTAAACCCCATTTGTGTTTTATAGCTTTCAACAAATATGTCAACTTTCAAAACGCTCCAATATATAAATTCTCGTATATCTTCGGAAATTTTGAATAAAAAAACTGTAATTTTTTGCAGGTATGCTTAGAAATACGTCTACTTTAAGATGATGGTAAAAAGCGTATAGATTATAATTCAAAACTTTTTTGAACAATTGATAAAAATTATTTAAAAATACAAATTTTAAAAATAAATCCTAAAAAATGGGTGAATATTATTTGGAATGAGCCTGAATTTCCAAATGTGAAAAGAAGAATAAAATAAGTTTAATAAAAAAAGAGAGATTTATAAATATATACCAAATTCAATGACATTGAGGAAAATCGTCCGATTTTTACAAAACTTGGAAGTTTGGCGTAATTTGAGTCGTAAATAATACAACAAAATGACCACAGGGAATAACATCCATTTAGTTTATGGAAAGTAAAGCAACTCTCTGTGGAACAGATCTCAGTCTATAAGAAATAATATTTGGTTGAAAAGTTAGAGTACGTTTCAGCTACTAGTTAGTCAAGACGTTTTCAGAAATAACTACTGAACATGATCTTGCTATATCAAAAGATCATTCTAATAATGACGTTCAACTTCAGAGAGTCAAAGAAAGATGGCGAAGTAAGTATAGCGAATGTGTGGAAGTGGAAATAGATGATAAGAGTGAATACTTAAACTAATAACTGCGCAGATCCAATTAAAATTATAAATAAGAGTGCTTGGATAGTCAGTGTTAGAAAACGAACAATTCTCTTTTGATTCAGAAAAAAAATCTGAAAGTCAAAAGAACAATTTAAAATATATTACCTATATTGAAACGAACCGATCAATAAAAAATTAAAGGAAAACACGGACGATTCTTCTATTACGCTCAACGAAATCTCTGAAAACATTTATGAAGCTTGATGATCTGTTAAACAATTCCTAAATAAGTAAGCAGGAAAGATACAGCTGTTCTTAAAATTTGCACATCAATAGCTGGGCCCTAAAGTTGATAAGCTAAAGATAAGAATAAAGTTGATAATCGAAATAACACAGGTCTTATAATTTCTAATAAAAATTAAAAGTCATGTAAACTTAAATGTTATAAACTTACATAAAATATTAAACAGGACATTTTAAACCAACTTCTCACAAAGAAGAAAACATTTATTTCTGTTAATACAGCTCTAGACTTTAA